CATTTTTTCATTTTCACTTGAAAAGTGTTGATTTTCCCTTACGAAAAATGTATCAGCTCCTACAAAAATGTTCATTCATTATAATCCACATTATAATTCACATTTCCTGTTGCTGCAGGATTATTTTCCTGCTGTAGCAAAGTGGCTCAAATTAAGATCCTACATCTGTACATATTGCCATTGATTGGTCCAGAATAGATTCTCCCCTGATTCATGTCATTAGTGCTAATAGACCTGGGCCTCGGCTGTAAAGGAACGATAGGAAGGAAGCATTCCTTCAGACTAATGAGTACTCTATATGCACCAGACCCCGTACACCCCCCTCCAGACCGCTACGAGCTTGTGGTAGAACTTGGCCTTAACCATAGATCTAGGACCAGATAACCCTTTCCCCAATCTGACCAGGTCTCACAAGAAACACACACATTGTCCAAATTGTAGTGCTGAGCGATTAACTGTCATTTCGGGGGGGGGGGGGGGGGGGGGGGGGGGGGGGGGTCGGTTATTAGAAAAACTAATTGACCAACGTCGGTTCAATTACTTGAATTCCATTTAGTTCGTTTTTTTCTCTCTAGAGAGAAATACATGGTAATTAACTACAATGACCATAATCCTTTATTTATTTTATTTTTTAGAAACAATACAAAACATACACATACAAACGAAAACATCATACAAACACCAACTAGACTGAACAAACATATAAACGCAACATGTAAAGTGTTGGTCATACATTTTATGAGCTGAAATAAAAAAAGATCCCAGAAATATTCCATATGCACAAAAAAAAGTTATTTCCCTCCAATTTTGTGCACAAATTTGTTTACATCCCTGTTAGTGAGCATTTCTCCTTTGCCAAGATAATCCACCTGACAGGTGTGGCATATCAAGAAGCTGATTAAACAGCATGATCATTACACAGGTGCACCCTGTGCTGGGGACAATAAAAGGCCACTAAAATGTGCAGTTTTATCAAACAACACAATGCCACAGATGTCTCAGGTTTTGAGTGTGTGTGCAATTGGCCTGCTGACTGCAGGAATGTCCACCAGAGCTGTTGCCAGAGAATTGAATGTTCATTTCACTACCATAAGCCACCTCCAACGTCGTTTTAGAAAATTTGGCAGTATGTCCAACCGGCCTCACAACCGCAGACCACGTGTAACCATGCCAGCCCATGGCCTGCATATCCGGCTTCTTCACATGCGGGATCGTCTGAGACCAGCTACCTGGACAGCTGATGAAACTGAGGAGAATTTCTGTCTGTAATAAAGCCCTTTTATGTGGAAAAACTCATTTTGATTGGCTGGGCTTGGCTCCCCAGTGGGTGGGCCTGGCTCCCCAGTGGGTGGTACTATGCACTCCCAGGCCCACCCATGGCTGCACCCCTGCCCAGTCATGTGAAATCCATAGATTATGGCCTAATGAATTTATTTAAATTGACTGATTTCCTTATATGAACTGTAATTCTGTAAAATCTTTGAAATTGTTGCATGTTGCGTTTATGTTTTTGTTCAGTATACATCACACCTGCCCGGACCCACTAGCACACACACACCCATCTCCAGCGCCCACATCACCTTCCGCCACATGGCCTCAAACTGCACCATTTTGTTTCGCGCAGTAGCCCACACACTTAATATTTTTGATAATAAAGCATTTTACCCTTTCCATTGCATTAACAACGGAGGATTGGTTGAAGATTGGTTGAAGTATACAGTTGAAGTCGGAAGTTTACATACACTTAGGTTGGAGTCATTAAAACTCGTTTTTCAACCACTCCACAAAGGTCTTGTTAACAAACTATAGTTTTGGCAAGTCAGTTAGGACATCTACTTTGTGCATGACAAGTAATTTTTCCAACAATTGTTTACAGACAGATTATTTCACAGCATCACAATTGCAGTGGGACAGAAGTTTACATACACTAAGTTGACTGTGCCTTTAAACAGCTTGGAAATTCCAGAAAATCATGTCATGGCTTTAGAAGCTTCTGATAGGCTAATTGACATCATTTGAGTCAATTGGAGGTGTACCTGTGGATGTATTTCAAGGCCTACCTTCAAACTCAGTGCCTCTTTGCTTGACATCATGGGAAAATCAAAAGAAATCAGCTAAGACCTCAGAAAAAAATGTGTAGACCTCCACAAGTCTGGCTCATCCTTGGGAGCAATTTCCAAACGCCTGAAGGTACCACGTTCATCTGTACAAACAATAGTACGCAAGTATAAACACCATGGGACCACGGAGCAGTCATACCGCTCAGGAAGGAGATGTGTTCTGTCTCCTAGAGGTGAATGTACTTTGGTGCGAAAAGTGCAAATCAATCCCAGAATAACAGCAAAGGACCTTGTGAAGATGCTGGAGGAAACAGGTACAAAATTATCTATATCCACAGTAAAACGAGTCCTATATCGATATAACCGGAAAGGCCGCTCAGCAAGGAAGAAGCCACTGCTCCAAAACCGCCATAAAAAAAAAAGCCAGACTACGGTTTGCAACTGCACATGGGGACAAAGATCGTACTGCTTGGAGAAATGTCCTCTGGTCAGATGAAACAAAAATAGAAATGTTTGGCCATAATGACCATCGTTATGTTTGGAGGAAAAAGGGGGTTGCTTGCAAGGCGAAGAACACCATCCCAACTGTGAAGCACGGGGGTGGCAGCATCATGCTGTGGGGGTGCTTTGCTGCAGGAGGGACTAGTGCACTTCACAAAATAGATGGCATCATGAGGAAGGAAAATTATGTGGATATATTGAAGCAACATCTCAAGACATCAGTCAGAAAGTTAAAGCTTGGTCGCAAATGGGTCTTCCAATTGGACAATGACCCCAAGCATACTTCCAAAGTTGTGGCAAAATGGCTTAAGGACAACAAAGTCAAGGTATTGGAGTGGTCATCACAAAGCCCTGACCTCAATCCTATAGAACATTTGTGGGCAGAACTGAAAAGGCGTGTGCGAGCAAGGAGGCCTACAAACCTGACTCAGTTACACCAGCTCTGTCAGAAGGAATGAGCCAAAATTCACCCAATTTATTGTGGGAAGCTTGTGGAAGGCTACCCAAAACGTTTGACCCAAGTTAAACAATTTAAAGGCAATGCTACCAAATACTAATTGAGTGTATGTAAACTTCTGACCCACTGGGAATGTGATGAAATAAATAAAAGCTGAAATCATTCTCTACTATTATTCTGACATTTCACATTCTTAAAATAAAGTGGTGATCCTAACTGACCTAAGACAGGGAATTTTTACTAGGATTAAATGTCAGGAATTGTGAAAAACTGAGTTTAAATGTATTTGGCTAAGGTGTATGTAAACTTCCGACTTCAACTGTACGTTTTAAGATGATTGACGAGAAAATAATTGTCCAACCCATGAAATATGCAGACAGACCGATTAAAAGTACATTTACAGCCAACTTTAACTCCGACCATAACTTTTGTTATGGAGTCATTATTTGTTTTACACTTCAGACATGACTCTGCCATTGTGCTGTAGAATTTGTGAATTCTCTCTCTTGTATAATACATTAAATACATTAATTTATACTAGATTAAGCATTTCCATTAACTGTAATCTAATTAGTTATGTTCCAACATTCTTCCATCTTCCGCCAATATCAGTTATTTTCTTTTTAAGTCTTGGTTCCAATAGTTGTATATTCTTTTTGTAAGAGATTGTCAGTTGGACAGGCTCTTTGCAAGGTTTTGTATAGCTTACATATTATATGAATATCCTTTTCTGACACAATTCCCACAATGACCGTAATCCATTGCGCCAGTTTTTTCTGGCTCGGACAGCGACGGATCAGAGAGGAAGATGCGAAGCGAGAGGTTTCACTCTCTGCAAAATCTGTCCAAAAATAAACCCAATGTGTTTCTAAGCTTATTGCCTGCCTTACCGCCTTTGGGACAACAACTCCAATTGTTAGGGCGGAGACATGAGCATCTCGTCGTTATATATAGATCTCTGGACGGATACACTTTTACGCCCGCTACGTTAGGTTAGATAAGGCCCCCAGTGTCCAGTCTGGAGTGTGAAGAAGTCAAGAGATCTGCTGGTCTGCCCTAGAAAGCCTATGTAAAATTAACATCGCCAGAACGGCCCAAAAACCTGTTCTTTTTTTTGGCGGCCGTTTTGGAAATTGTTTGTTTATTATGATGAAGTTCGATCCCCACAGTGAATTATTTTTAAAGTTCACTACACAGAGATATTTAATTCAATAGTGATCCATTCTGACTACTACATCTGTCATCACACAGGACCACGTGCTTACACCGACCAATCACGGGCGAGCCGGCTATGAGGAGGCTCCTGGTTGACTCCCTCAGGCAGAATGAAAACGACTACGTCGACCATGATCCTTTGCATGATCCCACTTTCACCATGATCGGGTGCCATTCAGCTCCATTCAGCAATATGGTGTGCTTTAAATTCAAATACTTGGGGGGAGAAGATGGCGGCGAGTGCAGACGAGAATTTAACTAGCTCCGAGTAACCTTACATTTAAGCAAGTTTGAGAGGGATAAAAGTTAAAACTCGGTTTATAGTAAACACAGAGAACAACACTCAGTAGACCGCTAATATGATTTGAAACTTGGCTAAATGGAAGAAAGAAATTTGCGAAAGTGCAAAAGGGAGGAGAATGCAGTTGCTAACTGACCACTCATATACCGGAGAGAAACCACCACCTGACTCCTCAGGAGAAGAAATGGAGGAATCTGGACATTTGTTGATTCAGAAACTCCAGTCAATAGCCCTGCACCCAAAAAGGCACAAAAAGAATCGTCTTCGCATGAACTCCAGGTCAACATAATCGATGCGGTCATTGCAAAGATAAACGAAAAAGCCGATGGTCTGGAGAAAATTATATGCAAAAACACACAAAAAATGGTTGACCTCGAATCATTCATACGAGAGTATCGAAGGTCTTTAATGTGCAAACACTGCAACCTCTGATAAATGTACTGCACAGGAGAAGACCATCGGTGACATGCAAGAGCACTTGTCGGAAGCGGAGCGATACCGGAGAAGGTGGGGGCTACGGCTTTACAGTGTCCCCAAGGACCAGGGTGAGAATGTGAAGCGCAAAGTAAGTGACATTTGTAACCATGTGGCCCCGGAATTCCCCGAAGGATATATGGACATGGCTGTGGATGTCGCTCAACGTATTGGGAAGAAGCAAGATGCCATCAGCAGCCGCTCGATCCTCATCCAGTTTGCTTTCCGCACAGCGAGCGATGCAGTTTGGAAGAAAGCAAAGGAAAGCGTCTTTCTGAAAGAGAGAACTTAGAGTCGGTGAGGACCTGACTGCAGCAGACAAGGCAGCAAAGGCAAAGTTGTGGCCTATCGACCAACAGGCCCGAAATCAAGGAAAGGGTTGATACTACAGGGGAATCAGAGCCTTTTTTGCCGGAAAGGAAATTTGACCGGGGTAATTTGCTCCGCAGGTAGCCCCTTCCCCCACAATAAACTGAGCATTCTAGTTTTGAATTGTGGTGTTATGGTCAAGACATCTGTTAATACATTTATGAAGCACCTTTTTATAGAGCGGGTAGAGTTGAGATTGCATAGGATTTTCCTTTATTTTGTATAGATCTTTCTATTTTGTATATAAGGACTTTAAGTTTGTCAATCAATGCCAGGGGGATACGAAACCTGTTGAAAGGGAATGTTTTTTTCGTAAGGACTGCAACGCAGAGCTTGTATTCGTTCAAGAGACACATTCATGCAAAGAGGACTTTAATTTATTTATTTTTATCAGTGGGGCAGTGACATTTTCTTGGCCCACGGGACTAATCATTCAGCTGGGGTTGCAATTTTAGCACACAATTTCAAAGATACATTTTTTGTTTACTCAAATGGACATTGGCTAGTAGCGTTCATCAACCACATGGACAGATTATTTGTGTTGTGTAATGTATATGGATACTGTTCTAGTCCTCCAAATGACTTACTTCTAGAGGAAATTCTTTAAAAGTCTGAGAAAATATCCATCCAGTCAGATTGTAGTTGGTGGGGAATTTAATATGGTTTATAATAATGAGACTGAGAGATTGCCCCATAGGCCTAACACTGGTGTGAACAAATTGGTGAATTTCTGCCTAAGCCTAGACTTCATTGACATATGGAGAGTTAAAAACCCTTGAGAGAAACCGTACACAATCAAGAATTGACTTGTGGGTGATAACTTCTAGCCTTGAGCCCAACACTGTAGAGGTAAAAATACTGCCTGCAGTCCTGACGGATCATAAAGTTACATGGCTGACTAAGAATGTGCAGTAATGATAAGAAATACTCTGGTGGTTATGGGAAATTGAATGCCTCATTGTTTTTGCATGATGATTACAAAAATGTGATTTAAGAATCAAATTTCTGTTTACTGGAATTTAGCTACCTCGAATGCAGAATATGGGAAATATTTGGAACTGCTGAAATTAGAAATCCGCTCAGCCTGTATTACTTATGGGAGCTTGCTTTAAGAAGTAGATGTGCGGTAGCTGAGGTCTCTAAGAAAATTGCTGATATCACAGAGATTGAGCATCTTGATCTTAATGAGAAAGCTAAATTGAATGATTTACAGAATCAACTAGATACATTTTATGAGGAAAAGGCTAGAGGAGTCTTCATAAGGTCCAGAAAACAATGGCTTGAAAAAGGCGAAATGAACAGCAGATACGTTTTTAATTTGGAAAAGAGGAGTGGGGAACGCAATACACTTCGGAAACGTAAGATTAAATTGGGTAACCTCTGAGGAAAGAGTTGTTTTCAGACTTCAGTTTTATGAGTATCTTTACTCCTTAGATAACAGTTTCAGTGACTAAGGATCTCCTTGATTCTATAGAGAATGTTAACTCGGTTAGTGAAGAATTCAAAAATCGGTTTTGTTGTCAAGATTTATCCATTATGGACATCTAATATGGGATTGCTCAATTTAAAAAAGAACAAATCTCCAGGTTGTGATGGATTAACCTCTGAAATTTACAAAACCTTCTCTGAAGAAATAGCAAATGTTTTACTAGAAACCTTTGAGGCTATGAAGAAGGGAAACCACCTGCCTCTGAAACAAGGGGTTATTACACTTATACCTATACCACACAAGGATCTCTTAGTTATTGATAATTGGTGTCCAATCACACTCCTCAATAACGACTACAAAATTATAGCCTCAATCTTTGCGAAAAGGTTAAAGTCGGGCTTGAATGATCTGATTGATGAATGTCAATAAGGGGTTTATGAAAGGGCGCCATATACAGTGGGGAAAAAAAGTATTTAGTCAGCCACCAATTGTGCAAGTTCTCCCACTTAAAAAGATGAGAGGCCTGTAATTTTCATCATAGGTACACGTCAACTATGACAGACAAATTGAGAAAAAAAAAGAAAAAGAAAATCTAGAAAATCACATTGTAGGATTTTTTATGAATTTATTTGCAAATTATGGTGGAAAATAAGTATTTGGTCACCTACAAACAAGCAAGATTTCTGGCTCTCACAGACCTGTAACTTCTTCTTTAAGAGGCTCCTCTGTCCTCCACTCGTTACCTGTATTAATGGCACCTGTTTTAACTTGTTATCAGTATAAAAGACACCTGTCCACAACCTCAAACAGTCACACTCCAAACTCCACGATGGCCAAGACCAAAGAGCTGTCAAAGGATACCAGAAACAAAATTATAGACCTGCACCAGGCTGGGAAGACTGAATATGCAATAGGTAAGCAGCTTTGTTTGAAGAAATCAATTATTAGGAAATGGAAGACATACAAGACCACTGATAATCTCCCTCAATCTGGGGCTCCACGCAAGATCTCACCCCAGTGCCAAATCCTGCAGTGCCAGACGTGTCCCCCTGCTTAAGCCAGTACATGTCCAGGCCCGTCTGAAGTTTGCTAGAGTGCATTTGGATGATCCAGAAGAGGATTGGGAGAATGTCATATGGTCAGATGAAACCAAAATATAACTTTTTGGTAAAAACTCAACTCGTCGTGTTTGGAGGACAAAGAATGCTGAGTTGCATCCAAAGAACACAATACCTACTGTGAAGCATGGGGGTGGAAACATCATGCTTTGGGGCTGTTTTTCTGCAAAGGGACCAGGACGACTGATCCGTGTAAAGGAAAGAATGAATGGGGCCATGTATCGTGAGATTTTGAGTGAAAACCTCCTTCCATCAGCAAGGGCATTGAAGATGAAACGTGGCTGGGTCTTTCAGCATGACAATGATCCCAAACACACCGCCCGGGCAACGAAGGAGTGGCTTCGTAAGAAGCATTTCAAGGTCCTGGAGTGGCCTAGCCAGTCTCCAGATCTCAACCCCATAGAAAATCTTTGGAGGGAGTTGAAAGTCTGTGTTGCCCAGCGACAGCCCCAAAACATCACTGCTCTAGAGGAGATCTGCATGGAGGAATGGGCCAAAATACCAGCAACAGTGTGTGAAAACCTTGTGAAGACTTACAGAAAACGTTTGACCTGTGTCATTGCCAAAAAAGGGTATATAACAAAGTATTGAGAAACTTTTGTTATTGACCAAATACTTATTTTCCACCATAATTTGCAAATAAATTCATTACAAATCCTACAATGTGATTTTCTGGAAAAAAAATTCCTCATTTTGTCTGTCATAGTTGACGTGTACCTATGATGAAAATTACAGGCCTCTCTCATCTTTTTAAGTGGGAGAACTTGCACAATTGGTGGCTGACTAAATACTTTTTTTCCCCAATGTATCTAATAATCTGAGGCTGGTGTTAGATTTGGTTGAGAATTGTGATCTATTGGATGACTTCCCCGTTATCTTATTTTTGAATGTTGATACCGTAAGTCACAAATGTATCTTTGATTGTCTTAACCATTTGAAGTTTGGTAATTTGTTTGTTAATGCTATTAGAACTCTGTACAATGGTGCAATAGCTGTATCAAACTATGTCATGGAACATCCTCAAGGTTTAACATTTACAAAGGAATACTACAAGGTTGTCCAATCTCACCTTTTTTATTTTTGTTAGTATCTCAAACCTTATGCTCATTAGTTTATCAAAGTCCATTTGAAGGCATTACATTCCAGGCCAGAGAGCTCAAGATAACCCAACTGGCGGATGACACCTCACTTTTTTTTATGTGTCACAAGCTAGATTGGCATTGGATATTGAGAAGCAGTTCTCCAAAAAATTTCAGGTTTGGTATCAAATCTTTCCAAATGTGAAATGTTTGTTCTTAAAGATTACAATATCTTTTTTAGAGATTTTACAATCTACCTCTGTGTAAAGATCACCCAAAATCTTAGGGCTGTGAATAATCTTAATTTGAATCCTGTAATTGAATCTATAAAAAATAAATGATCCTCATGGTTAGGGAGGGTGCATTTATCCAAAGCTGAGGGGCTCTCTTTTCTCATCTATTGACATTCCCAAATCCACTTTCTGTACCTTAGATAGGCTATTGTACAACTTCATATGGAAAAACAAGCCACATAAGATAAAAAGTGATGTTATCACCAACAGGGTTTGTGATGGCGGTCTAAATGTCTCCGACTTCACTCTCTTTAATCAGATATCAAAAGTCAACTGGGTTAAAAACGTACTTTAAAAAAAATCTACGTTTTTTGAATATTGTACCGTATTTTGTTTTTCAGAATCGCGGAGGGCTTCATTTTTTACTACAATGTCCTTATACTGTGGGTAAACTTCCTGTGAAATTGTCGGCTTTTCACAAGCAGGCATTAATGTCCTGGGCTTTGCTGTATAAACAACTTTTCACCTCAAATGTTTTATATGGAATAATAGGTCGATAATACATAGAAACAAGACGTTATTTTACTGTAATTGGTTCTCAAAAACGTTGTTCTTGTCAGCCAATTAGTTAGTATTAGTGGGAATCTATTTACGCGGTGAGAATTTATGGAAAGATACAACTGAGGTTTCAAGCAAGGAATATGACACTGTTATAAAATCTAAACCTAGTGGGATAAAATCTTTACTACAGAATAATGCATATTCTGGAACAGCTCCTATTGTAAGTGATATCCAGGTGAAGGGCATAGGTTTACTAGTTAAGAAATTCAACAATCGTTTATTAAGTGATATTTTCTACAGGAATTTTATTCATTTTGCTATATTTTGTTGGGCTTCACCGTTTGATGTGAACTGGCGCTGTGCTTGGCTCCACACAAATCTATGGTGACCAATCAAGTAAAGGAGATCTCTTTAAGATTATCCATATATTCTACCCGTGTAATAGCTTGATTTCTAAATATATACCTGATGTCACCAGTGAATAGTTTTTGTGAACTAAAAAC